AAAAAAAAATAATTTGAAGCCCATATTCACATGACCCCACTCAGTCTTTTAAAATTTAATTATGAAATAAGGAGAATCGGACCGACGACTTGTTCTAGCTATATAATTATCTAAAAAATATCCATGTCAAAGTTAGCAACCCAAAATGAGTTAAAATCAACTGGTTTTAAGCCCGATCAGACGAATTGCTTCCATATATACATCAGTGTTATAGTTCAATACGGTACCAACATAAGATATGAAAATTATTACTAGAATATATCACTATCAGACTGACGACAGAAACAAAACAGCGATCTGGATCGAGGAACGGGCTCACTAAGGGAATTCCCGATAGGTATCTTTGCACGCCAGTCTAAATTTAGCAATGACTCGTTTCAACGTGTGTTCGTAGCTTTCGAAAAAGTACGGCGAAACTTGGTTCTTACTAATTATCACCGTTATTTTTCCCAAAGCTGACGAACCTAAAAATGTTTACCACGTCAGACTTATGTGGACTTCACAAAATTAAACACACCGTAATTGACAAGGAGAAGCCACGCAATTCTTACGTGGATTTGTCGAGAAATTAGCATTCAGAGGTGTGTGTGTGTGTGTGTGTGTGTGTGTGTGTGTGTGTGTGTGTATGTGTGTGTGTGTGCTTGTGTGTGTGCTCACCAGTCTCTAATGACAGAGTCAAGTGTCTTGAGTAAATCAGAAAAGAACCCCATGATTCTCACCCAGATGTTACTATTTCTATCGTCCAGCCAGAAAATCATTTCAACTTCAACAGATGGTGACCATTGGTTGGAATGGGTGAGTGCATGTGTGGCTTGAGTACGTGTTTCTGTCTGTGTGTGTATGTTAGGATACAAAAAGAGAGGGAGGGAGAGAGAGAGGGTGAGAGGGAGGGAGAGAAAGAGAGGGAGGTGGGGAGGGAGAGAGAGAGGGAGAGGGGAGGGAGGGAGAGAGGAGACGGGAGGGAGGGAGAGAGAAGGAGAGGGGAAGGGGGAGGGAAGGAAGGAGAGAGAGAGAAAGAGAGAGAGAGAAGAGAGACAGTGAGAGAGAGTAAGACAGTGAAAGTGAGTGAGTATGGTGTGCACGCACAAGCAGGTGTGTATTTGAGAAGTACGTATTGTGTGAACACTGCATCTTTAGTGCATACAAAAAAAAATCTTTGGCCAAATTTTTTACCTTTACTTCATTTTTCCACTAGCTCCGTCATCACTGAGACAAAACTGTGGTGAAAAAATCTTCCTTAGACCCAAACCTTACTAATAGTATTCCTGCCATGAACATTACCCACTACAAACCAATGCTGTACCAGCACTGTGAGGAAAAGGTGATGTGTGGCAGTGGATGACAGACCTAGGCATTATACAAAACACACATGAGTTTCATCATTTCATTTGGTCTTGGATAAAAGACTATGGGGCCAGTAAGGGCGCTGCACCACGAGCTTTGTAGGACACTTGACTACACTGTGACTGGCCCTGGTTCACATCCATATATTTTGTATCTTTCCTCTGTAGTTTGATGCTAAGTTTTTAATTTTAATAAGAGATTTACGGCACTTGCAACACATTAAGGTCACATAAGCGCCGAAGATTAGAGGTGTTACAAGAGAGTAACAAACACAAAACAGAAGGAGGGGGAATAAAGACGATAGATGTTTAATAGGAAGGAAGAAGCAAAAAGCAAACCACACCAGAGGACCCGCCAACCACCCACATGCTAAGTTTAAGGCTCTTCAAGGGAAAAGTTTATTCAAGTCTTCAATTACCTAAATTGAATTGAAAAGTGTAAATAACGAAAAAATAATCTCAGACTATTGTTCGCACTGAAGATCTCTTGAGACATAAATAGACTTCATGAAGATCTAAGAGAAATGGTCAAAGAATTGATTATTATACATATACAGAACTGTAAACTTTTTCTTTTTAAACAAAAAATCCCAGAAAGCAGTATACTCAAAAGCACTTCAAAACTCATTAGTATAAGTCTGAAACAGACTAAAGGTACATGCCTTGGAGTTTAAAAAAAGTACCATTAGGAAAGCAAGAAGTTAGGCACAGTTATGTTAGTAGAGGGTCTAAGAGAAGAAAGGCCTAAGAAAAAGAGAGAGAGAGACGGAGGGAGGGAGGGAGAGAGACAAAGAGACAGAGAGATGAACAGAGAGGACGAACAGAGAGAAAGAGAAAGAGAGGGAG